TTTCTGAATACGTGCATTAGATGAGATGACAACTTATCTGAAGTTGGCCCTAATGATTATCAAGAGTTGTGACAGATACTAAACATTTCTGCTTGAAAAGAAGAATATTCTTCTAGACAGGTCACAATGAAAGAGAAGACCTCCATGTCCGAATCACCTTCAAACTGTTACCCAGTGTCACTGGATTCATTAGGCTATGATCATACCATCATTCTTTAAGCAGATCTGGAACTGAAGTCACTTTACCAAAACCTAATATTGTGACATTTGATTTACAGCCTTTTCTCTGACAAGCCTTTTCTTGCAGTAATTTGTTAAATGATACTACTACTATTACTAAAAATTCTGTTCACAGTATATTTGATCGTACCCAAGTTGGACATTAAATTGGAGTTTGGAGAGGCTCGGATTCTGTGCCTACATTCTGCCTATAACTCACTCATATGATAATACATGTCAAGTTGATATTGCATGAGAAATGTTAGTTAGAGCAGTTTCTCGGCTCTTCTGCCTCCAGTCCAGATGTTCCATCTGAATTATAATACTAGTAATTACATGCAACCCACACAAGTACACAAGACTTAAACCTCTTTTTGAATGCAAAACATAAAATTCAAGCAGACTAAATCCTTGAATCATATCGTAGTGTCCCTTCCAAAATATGGAAAGACTATTTGAAAGCCTGTATTTTAGGGGTATCATACAACAATGCTGTCACAACAGCAAGGGTGATTTTTAATAAGTATACCTGTCATTTAGGAGCTCTATTTTGTCAAACAATATTGTCAAACAATATGTGATAAGAGAGATGTATATAAATGAGAGACTAATCAATTTTAATGTAGAAAAGCTCTCATAGGCTGCTGATTTTATAACTATTCTGATAAATTTTAAAGCAACTAAGCAGATAAAGATGCGAATTTCCTAAATTTTTCTCCTACAGGGAGAGGGATATTCTTTCTCTCTCTCTCTCCATTGTGTAATCACAGGCCCATAAATGAAAATGCATCTGGAAGCAGCTAATGTTACATTTGTCTCAGAGGAGAATGACAAAGGAATTAGAAAATAGAGAAAAGAATGCAGAGAAGGGGAAAATGCACTCATGTAAACAAAGGTAAAACTAAAGGAAATTGAATTCATTACATACGTAATCAAAATTCTTTAGCAAGTTTAATAAAAGAGCCTCTCAGAAGGAAAACTGTCAAAATGGAAGATGGCTTTTTAAAACAGAGTTCCATGCTATAGCAGATTTTGTTAGGGCTAAAGTTTAGAGCTTTAAATAAACAGTGGATACAAAGAACAACACAAATGAAATAATCAGACACAAAAATATCCTGAAAATTAAGTTAATGGTTCTACAGATCAGATATGTAACTCTTGTTTCATCAATGGTTTCCAAAGAACCAAATAATTTCATAGACTACAAGCAAAGGAAATTAAATTAGAAGCCTTTCTAACTTGGTCTTGTTATACGAGACAACATTCAAAAGTACACTGGAATACCAGTTCTAACTGGCCAATTGTTTTTTGCAATTTTGTGACAAGTTATTCAGCTATTCACACAAAGATGAAAGACACAACAGTAAGAACAACATCAGAAGGGTTCTTCCTTTTTTTGTTTTCGCATTTGTTGTTTTTGGAGTAGTTTTAGAAACAAAGTATCTTCCATTTCTGCTCAGAGATGTGTGCTTTTTATGTGCTAAGAACATAAAAAGAGAAAATCTTGGCTTCTAGCCACATGTAGCTTCAGCTGTATCGTATTTTCCAGGTTTGTTCTTTTTTCCTATTGCTTGCTTCTAGGATTTTAATTGTAGATCTTATCTATGTGTTTTGAACTTGCTGTTTTCATTTTGAATATTGAGTAATGTATACAATTTAAGAGAATGGAAACAAACAATGACAATCTCAGAAACTGTTAAAATGCTCGAAAATAAAGAAATTATTGGTTTCAATGGAAAATACAAATATTGGCTAAAGTGAGATTTGAGTGGCCAGTTCAAAATGTAACTTCACATATGATTAGTAAGCTAAGGTATTTTAAAGTGTTCCTAACTACTCTGCAGACACTCACAGATATTCCATGTGCTTCCCCATCCTTTCATGTTTTCTGTTGGAACGGGTTTACATCTATCACAATTCCAGGCTATGAAGCAGCTGCACAAGCTATTTTCTTACCTAAACATCTGTGATTGATTCATATGCTGAACTGAAATACAGGAATACTTACCTCTAAGTTTATCTCTGCAAGTACTACTCTAAAACAATTTGAATATTAGCTCTGTAAATATGACTGACAGGATTTCCATGCTTGTTAAGAAACTTGACTGGTTACAACAATAATACTGCTCAACTGCACTCCCTATTGCCTGCTTTCTCAAACTCTTATGGTACACAGTGACACTCCCAGTAAAATGGAGTAAAAATTTACTCAATTTAAAATGTATAAGCAAAAAGAAAAAGGAAAAAAAAAGAATATAACACCCAAGTGTGAAATATGGGAATGAAGAAATACCTTATAGTGATACCTTCAAAGAAAAAATTACGAATCTTTAATTTTCCCTTCTGAGAAGTATTGTTTGCCAGTTATTTTTACTACATCTATTATTACTACAGGTGTTGCAGGCATATAAAATCTTTCTCTTTTTCACTCTTTAGATACACACTGTACATACAAAATAAACTGCACATATACATGAGCACAAACACACACAACATAATCTATGGTTTAATTCTAGTAAACCATGTAACAGACACTGAAGGCTTGTTCACCTTTTCTATAAACATGCTAACTAAAACATTGAAATTGTACCCTTTGTGAGATCTTTCCAGTAAGTCTCTTGCATTTGTTCAACATTCGCTTAGTAGCTTTATTACACAATGAAATAATACCATACTTATTATCAAACTAATTGACATAATCAGATTTTCCCTTTCACTGAAACAGAACTGCAGATGTATTTTGTTGTAAAGGGGACTATGGTTGTTTATCCTAGAGTAAAGAGGCTCAGGGGGGACCTTATCACTACCTATAACTACCTTCAGGAGGTTGTAGTGAGGAAGGTGTTGGTCTCTTTTCCCAAGTAGCAAGTGATATGATGAGAGGAAATGGCTTCAAATTGTGTGAAGGGAGTTTGGTTTGGATATTTGGAAAAATTTCTGCACTGAAAGTGTTTGTACTGGAACAGGCTGCCCAGGGAAGTGGTTGAGTTGCCATCCCTGAAGATATTTTAAAGACGCATAGACGTGGTACTTAGGGACATGGTTTAGTGGTGGACTTGGTAGTGCTCAGTTAACCATTGAACTCGATGATGTTTAAGTTCTTATTGAACCTAAATGATTCTATGATCCTATGACTCTAAAATTATTTGCTATTTATTACTGAAAGCCTTCAAGATTATTTATCTTCACAGACACTCCACGCGTAGGAGGTCACAGAAAAAATTCCTGGAGGCAATGGAGCACATAGTTGTATTTTTGCACAATGATCTTCAACTCTGGTTCACTTTATAGCAAATTTGAGACTCTAACTATTTGGTTAGGACAAGGCCATAAAGAATAAACAATCTTTACATGCTCATGAACAGTCTCATGAGCTTAGACTCTGTTCTCATAAAATCACCACCTGAAACTAGAAACATTCATGGGCAGGATGTTTTTGATATTTATTGCTATTTGCAATAACAATGGAGTTCTGCCAGGCAATAACTAGCAATAAGGATGCCTGGATGCAGTCAGTGAAAGTATCCAGGAGGGTTTGCTTCCTCTGAGATCACAACCACCACTGTAATTGCTGTGTGTCACATTCCCTACATGAACACTTCAAATACAACTGCATGTCCTGGAGCCATCATTCAGGTTTGTTCACTATTGTGAAACCACTCAGTGGTTGGCCCATTCACATATTTTCTGTCAAGCCAGTGATGTTTTGTATTGAATCCTGCACAAGGGAGACTGGTTTTGAAATGAGGTGTTCCCTAGCAGTAACCTTGTCTCCCTGCTTGGGAATTTTGTCATCAATCAATGTGAAAAGTGGATGCTGAAATTCACTATTTCTTTTTTTCTTTTTTTTTTTTTTTCTTTCTGATCTGGCCTGACTTTTAACTACCTACAAGGAATATCCCTTTCCTCAAAGAGGTAGAGGGGAACCTGAACAACTCCCCACCAAACCAAGTCTGTCAGTTGGTTTGATACCCAAAATGAGAAACAAGAAAGCCTGTTCAAAGCCTTTGAGGCACAATAAATTGAGGAAATACATTATGCTGAGAAACTCGAGGCATGGATGACAGGCACTGCACAGCCTTGCAAAGGACAAAAGACTGAACACTTCAATCACTTATCATAGAGCTCTCAACAGGAGAGGTTATTTTGCTACAACTGGGAAACAAGAAGCAATCACTGTCAGATGAATGGGAAGACTGATCACAGGTACTACTCCATGGCAATCAAAGTAGAGACCATTAAAGGAAAAAAAAATATTCACTCTTTTAAATTCTTTAATATATTTCTGGAAATGTTGAGCAACATCCAGCAGTGGGGCCTTCCCCAAAAGACAGTTACTCATCATCTGACAAAATTTTACAAATTAATTTTGTCATGGAAAATAAACCCTGAGAAAAACTTTCTTTCTCCCTTAATTGGATCAGAAAAAAGTATAGTTGCTGTAGAAATGTCTCCTTTTGCATTTTTAAGTATGGTGCTTGTAATGATAGTGCAGCAATAAATACAATTTGCACAGTAATAGATGTTTCAACAAACAGAAAGCAAAACAAGATAAACACCATTCAATAAAAAAATTATCAAATGATCCCTCTTAATATTAGAATAGACTGACTTATTTCTCTAACGAAAGGGGTAAAACATCTTCTTCAAGATGTGCCCTGTCACAACACTGTCACACTTGCAATAAGTGACATTTTCTCTGTCATTTCTTTTTTCCATGGATGCCATAAAATGCACCACATGAATGTGAAGTGACATCTTTACTAACATGTGGTACTTACTTATCTCCCACAATTCCCAAGTTGATTGTTGGATAGCCATGTTCTTGGATTGTAGCTAGAAGAGTTGAACGGTTACTGTCCCGTATTTTTCCTGGCAAGAGGTCGTCTTCGGGATTCAGTAGCTATAAAACCAAAACACTTTCAGTCAGTCTCCTTGCAATACTTTGCACAAGTAAGAATTTTCTTCTTCATATGGGACAGAATATTAGAAACCTATAATAAAATATATATGTAAGGTGATTTAGTGAATTTAATTTAATAAGATATATGCTTGTTTAGTCCAATCCTCCATGTTGCTTAGTTTGTTTCTATTGGTCCAAGCCTGCAAAATCTTCTTTCTTCTTATGAGTACCTGGCTTCTACTCTCAAACATTATAAATCGAACTACAAACTTTAAGTTTCCAAGTTATCTCTTCTATTTAAATGCTTCTAAAGGAACCTCATTGATATTGCTAACCAGATTTAAAGGTATTAAAAGAAATGTTGAAGTCCATTGTTTACTTACCAATAAAAATGTTTTTTAAATACAACAATCTGTATTGGAATAATAGACAGAAGCTTAAACCTTGGTTCTTATACCAATTGCTGAATTGGATTAAAATCTTTCTCTCAAGATAGTATCACAGCAATTGTCTTACATGCATCCTATATTGTGGAAATTAAACTACAAAACATACATATGTAAACATGTTTTACACATAATAGGAAGTCTTTTGTGGGACACAGACGGACAACACAATAGTGTCAGGAGGTAAATAATAATAAAAATGCCTATGTGAAAATGACAGCAATATTATTAGGTAGTAAGGTCAGAACAACCGAAAGTGAAGGATGGCTAAATTTTGATGCTCTGGCTAGTAGCTCTATTTCTGTGAAGATTTCCGTAGGATGTTTCAGAAACCTACCATGTAGGGTTGGAACTAGATGATCTTAAGGTCCTTTCCAACCCTAACTATTCTATGATTCTATGATCTTTTTTAACACAAGATACAAAAGAGAATGCCCACATCAGTAATGGACCCTTTAATGACATGCAAGAATCGTCAGTCATACAGAAGATACTATTCAGAAAATCACCACCTGCAATCCTTGTGGCTCTTTGCATTTGTTCTTCAATTACCAATATGTTTCCTGCACAACACACCCTATTTATATTATGAAATCTGGCAAGATTCTGTCCCAGCAAGGCTGGCCTCTGTCACCCACAGTACCCAGTAGTTACAAAGTAACCTTCACTGGGGCTGGGGAACTTGTAAGGACACCGCCAGATGACAAAATTCAACCTATTAAAAGTGTCCAGAGTCTTTCAAAATTCAACCTATTCAAGCGGTATGGGAATACAGCTATTAGGTTTATGTTTGTGTCTGAATTTCAAAAAGTTTGTCTCACAAGACAGTCAAAATTATAGGTCAAACTTCATGCTGTCTTTAAACTTCAAACTGACTTTATCTCAACCCACAAGTTCTTTTACTTTTGTTCTTCCCGTTCTCTCTCTGTCCTGCTGCCAGAAAGAATGAGCGAGCATAGTTGCTGGCCAGAGTCAACTCACACATATATAAATTCACTAAATTAACTTAATCTTGAATCTGATTTTTCTGATGTAGTTAAAATAAATCAGTTAGAAAGCTGGTTTGCAGTTCTACCAATTGCAGATTATCTGGATTTCAACATGTGCTATTATTAAAATATTAAGGCACAATACTACAGCCAGGCATTTGGTAGTACTATTGAGTTTTCAAAGACAGGTTAGCTGCTATTTGCACTACAGCTACAGAAGAGTGCTGCTCAAAAGAAATTACTCTTCCAATCATGACTGGCAGTACAAATTACCTCCCTGACTGCCCCACAGGTCCTCCCTTCCTGGCAGGAGAAAGCAGCTGGCACATGGTTGGATAAAGTACTGAAATTCTGGCAAAGACAGTGTGTGAGACTTGTAAGAGACCATCAAGGGAGAAAGCGATGGCACAAGCACAACAGGCACAAGCAGCCTATTATGGATTGATCACTCATTAAAATACCTCACGTCAGCACAAGTTGCAGCTCAAAATGCGAGCCTACTTGGGAAAAGGGTGGAAGCCACTATTCAAAACACTGTCCAAAGGAAGGTACAGTAATTCAGACCTTCATCTAAACATACTTTTCTTACCTCGTTCCCTGTTGACATGACTGCAACCACTGGAAACTTGTTAACTTCTACTTCGGTTACTCCAACAGTTGCTAAGAGACCAATCTCAGATGGACCCATGTGGGTTCCTTTAGCCAGCACACATTCACCTCTTTTAATGTCATGTCCTATAGGTCTGAGCACAGAGAAAAATGAAAGAAAAACAGAATGAGATTGAAAGTATATTTCCTTGATTGGTCCTGCTTCACGTAAGGAGTGTCCAGGGATGCTCATTAGTCAGATTGTCAAAATGTCAGTACTACTTACAGTTAAAAAATTACTATAAAAATCACCAGCCCTTCAATTCCCTACAGAGATGTTTTACTGTTTATGAAGTAGGCTGTTACAGACCTGATATCTTGGCCTGGTCGAGCCTGCACCAGGATTCGAACTTCTAGTTCTTCAGTGCCCTACAAAAAAAAGGAGATCAAATACGGTCAGCTGGGTTATTCAAAGATTAATCATCTTTAATTTCTCAGAAGTCTACATGGCTTATGGTACTCATTACACTGAGACCATAATGTTTAAGCATCGTCACTGTTCTCCTGACCCGTGTGTCAAGACTGTAATACAATGTGTGCTAAAATGGAACTGCTTTCTAAGAAATTCTTTCCTTGATGAGCTCACCAACATTGAATATATAGTCTTACCTTCCTTTCTTTAATGATCTCTGTGCTTATCTAGCTTTCTTATGTCCTGTGTTTATCTGTTGATCTGGTATATCAAGTGGATTCTTTCTATTCCTCTCAGCCAACTCTATGTGCTCAAACAATTTCAAAGATGGCGGTTCAAAAAGACCATTATTCTGACAGGCAATACACCACTACATCTGCAGAAAGACAGGAAGATGCTACACACACTAGCTGTTTCAGGATTTTCAATGTTGATTCCTGCACTGGAAACACCCACCATTTTTCATGGGGTTAAACCACAACAAGAGACAGTGGCCTTAAAAGTCTGATGTCTATTTGTGTTTACTTCTTCAGAATTTCAACGGTTTGTAGGCTCATTCAATGCAAATAAATGCCAATAAATGGAACATGACCTATATTGTTAATATTTGGTTTATATGCCCTGCAAGTGGGTTGTACACTCAGCTTTGACTGCTAGTCTATCTGTAGCACTAAAACTACAGTTGCTTACAATGGAACAGATTTTGGTTTTACATTATCGTGTAGCACTTCATACTTACAGCAACTCAAAGGGACCTTGACACGCTTGTGAGGTGGG